TTTAAGCCAGGTCTTGCCCAATCTGTATTTGTAACTTTAGTTTTTCCTGCCTAAATGTAAGACTTTGCTTTTCTCCACATTGAAACTCATTTTGTTGGATAGGGCCCATTGTTCAAGTTTGTCAAGATCTTTTTGGATCCTGAGTTTGTCTTCTGGGGTGTTGACTCCTGTCAGTTTGATGTCATCTGCAAATTTGATGAGTTCCCCTTCCATTCCCTCATCTAAGTCATTTATGAAGATATTGAAAAGTCCTGGGCCTAGGACGTAACCTTGCGTGCTGGCTACTAGTTATGACTTTGTTTGTTTCTAGTTGTTCACAGATCTGTTTTTTTATTATTTTTTCTAGGATCTTCCCAGTTATTTATGTTAAACTGATTGGTCTGTAGTTTCCTGGGTCTGTTTTTTCCCCTTTCTTCAAGATGGGAACCACATCAGCCTTTTTCTAATCCTCAGGTACTTCCCTGGTGCTCCAGGATTTATGGAAGATGTAGTACAGCGGTTTCATCTCTCAAGGCCTGTCTGAAAAACTGGCCAAGTCTAGAAGGCCCATTTTACCCATCTTCCTATGTCTCAGGTGGGGGAAACCGTGTGAACGGGGGAAATCGATCTAAATCAGAACCAGCCCAGTAGAATTGTCAGCAAAGATATAAGAAGACTGCGGATGAGAAAGGCAGAGTTTTGAGGAGGGCAATGGAGGCATCCATTAGGGAAGGGTGAAGGAGCATGATGGCAGGGGGTAGGAAGATTTTGATCACCAAAATCTGATGTAAAAAGGATGTTGAGACTCTAGAAAGAGTACAGAGAAGAGCAACAAAAATGATTAGAGGACTGGAGGTTAAAACATATAAGGAATGGTTGCTGGAATTGGGTATGTCTAGTTTTAACGAAGAGAAGGATAGGGGGGACAATGATACCAGTGTTCCAATATCTCAGGTGCTGCCACAAAGAAGAGGGAATCAAGCTATTCTCCAAAGCGTCTGAAGGCAGGACAAGAAGCAAGGGATGGAAATTAATCAAGGAGAGAAGCAACCTAGAACTAAGGAGAAACTTCCTGACAGTTAGAACAATTAACCAGTGGAACAACCTGCCTCCAGAAGCGGTGAATATTCCAACACTGAAAGTTTTTAAGAAGAGACTGGACAGCCATTTGTCCGAAATGGTATAGGGTTTCCTGCCTGAGCAGGGGGTTGGACTAGATGACCTCCAAAGTCCCTTCCAACTTTATTATTATTATTATTCAGAAGAGGAACACTTTGCGCATGCACAGCGACTCTCTTGGATGTAAGAACTTAGCCCGCCGACAGGCATCGCGTTCCTTCACACGCTCCTCGGTCCCAGTTGCCCTTTCGGTTAAACTCGGAGCTTGCAGGAGTAATCAAGGGCGGCTGGCCCAAGAGGCGGCGACGGCAGCTCCGTTGCTATTGGTGGGCCGCATCGGTTTTAAAGTCCACGCCGCTCGCCTGGGGCTGCTGAAGCGGCGAAAAGATGGCTAGCTCAGCGCGGCTCCTCCTCGCCCGCTTGCCTCGGCCTTTGGCCGGGAACAAGGCTTCCACGGCGCGGGCCCTCCCGGGGAGAGGTAAGTGGAGGCAGCCGGGAAGGGGCCGTCTGGAGACGCTTTTTCGGTGGGTCTCCTTTGCTCGGCGAGTATCAGCCTTTCCACGGGGATGGTGACCGCCGTGCCTCTGAGCATGTTCAGAGTGCATTTGTCCCGAAGTTGCAACGAGCAGGATGAATGTCCCACAGCCCCCAAAGGGGCGGGTGTAGTCTCGATCCACTCCCCTTTCATTCATATAGAAGCCACAAAACCACTTTCTGAAAATTGCGGTCGCAGCTACAAACCGCAACCCGTTAGACAACGCATCCTTCCTTCCTTCCTTATGTATTAACCCTACGAATTATTAAATATATACAATATACATCACGCATAAGTATATGCAATATTATTAACATAATATTGCATATAATGTGGGTGAAAGATCTGGCGGAGGCTGCAGGAGCGGGCAGGAATGAGAAGGGGCGAAAAGCATCCACAGCCTCTTCCCGCGTTCTGCCCGGGTCAGGAGTGTCGTCTGAAAGCGAGAACGCACGCGCGACTTTTGCCCTGGTGATTTGAAAATCCTGCACGGGCAAAATAATTCAGTGTCGCCCCCAATCCAGGGGACTCGATCTTTCGCACCCGTGAAAGAGCAGGAGATTAGCTCTAGTAACGGGGAAATGCAGGATTTCCCTTCCAAGTACCAGAGTGGCGAGAGACTCGGGAATTGGCGGATGGGATTGAATCCCCCGCTCCCTTGCTGAGGACCGTGGGAAAAGAGTGGATTGACTCCAAAGCCACTGACCTAATTCAACCCGGCGCGTTTATGTCAGTGGTTTTCAAACTTGGTAACTTGAAGATGGGTGGACTTCATGCTGGCTGAGGAATGCTGGGAATTGAAGGCCATCCCATCTTCAAGTTGCCAAGTTTGAAAAACTCTGACCTCGCTTATAACCCCAGGCCACGCTGGAGATGATGGGGGAAGTTTATCCTTCGTCTTCTTGTAGTCCGTCCCCCCTTTTCCCCCAACTATCATTGGCAGCCCTGATGACTGGGGATTGTTGTGGAAGTTGAGACTCCACATAACTGGAGGGCACCAGCTTGAGGGAAAAGAGGTTGATCGAAGAGGGAAAAGAGGTTGAGCAAGCAGACCCTGGATGGGGAGATAGACCTGGACGGGGGAGATGAGATGACCGGTCGCCAGAGGGGAGTGAGCCAGACCTGAGGTGTGTTCAGCTCGTGGCTGGAGGGGAAAGCAATCTCCAGCTGCTGTTGCTGGTCCCACGATTGACCCTTTGCGAGAGATGGCTTTGGGCAAGCCAAAGTGCACTATCTCCCCTGGACTAGGCAGACAACCCCTGCTTTTAAGCCACCTGCCCCCATTCTTGGAGGGGAGACAGGCTGCCAGCATCGTTGGAGCCAAAGCTGGTCTCCAGCCAGGACAGTCTACTAGCCAAATGTGGCTGAACTGCCCCTCCCAGGGATTTCCCCATTGGCGTCACCTGTGGGTATATGGGCTACACCTTGGGCTACACCTTGGACTTCAACCTCCAAACGGGTGGAATTGACGTCAGCTCTCACGTGAGCTTCCTAAACTCGTTGACCTGCAGTTGGAGGAGGAAGAACAGCCCAAACTATTACATTTCTTTTACTTGAATGAGTCCTGGAATCTGCTGGCAGCGTTGGGCTTCAGGATTTAGTGACCAAGGTCTAGAGAACAGGCTGCCTGACGTTTTGCCAGCAATTGGCATCTTCAGAAACAAAGACGTCTACTACACAGACCACAGGCAATGGAACTGAGTGGGCTGCTGTCTTTATAGTTAGGTGACCTGACTTTTGATTGGTCTTTACCCAAGCTGGTTTCTGATTGGTGCATGTTGGTAAGGGCTGGTGTCTCCCACTGAAATATCAGGAAATCTGTTCTCTACACAGAGGTCACTAAGCCCTGAAGCCAAAACTGTCCAACAGATACCAGTCTTGAAAGCTTAGATCAGGGGTCCTCAAACTTGGTCACTTTAAGACTTGTGGACTTCAACTCCCAGAATTCCCCAGCCAGCCATGCTGGCTGGGGAATTCTGGGAGTTGAAGTCCACAAGTCTTAAAGTGGCCAAGTTTGAGGACCCTTGGCTTAGACCAGTGGTTCTCAACCTTTTTAATGCCGCGACCCCAACCGGTTGTAAGTTGAGGACTAAACTGGTCGTACGTCGAGGACTAAACCGGTCGTAAGTCGAGAACTAAACCGGTCGTAAGTCGAGGACTACCCAACCGGTCGTAAGTCGAGGACTTTCCCTGCCCGGGAGCGCCGCACATGTGTGGTTCCGCCCCCTGCGCCGGCCGAGGCATAGCTGGCAAGCGGCAGAGACGGAGCAGGCCGACCACCAGCTGGCCCAGCCCAAGGGAGGTAAGGCCCCCGCTGGAAAAGGGGGAAAAAATGGCGGACAAAAAAAATGGCGGACAAAAAAATGGCGGACAGCCTTGCTTGGCGACCCCCATGAAATGGTCGATTGACCCCAAATGGGGTCCCGACCCACAGGTTGAGAACCACTGGCTTAGACCAACATTGGAATCTGATTGACTTTCTCCTTCCTTGGGAAATGAACAAGATGATGTATCAGAAGGGTCAGAGAACAATCTGGGGAAACTATGGCTGCAGGCTGCTGGAAAAGGAGGAAGAGGCATGGAAAGCTAACTGGTGCAGTTGCTCTTCTGTATCTCTCCTCTGGGATGCTTTTACCTCCTTTAGCTAACTTGTATGCGAGTGAAATCAAGACCCCTTGGATGGCTTATGTTTTATACGGACAGGCTGGTGTGGTTTTCTTTGCACAGGAAATGTTAGTTGACCTTTACTTTTTTCCAGAATGGTTTTTCACTTTCTTAGAACAGCCAGAATTTAAAACAGAATTAGACTTTGGGGGATCAAGAATTGTGGATAGATTAATGAAGCAGAATGTGAGCACCTTTGTGTCAATAGGTACAATTTGCCTCTCTTAATATGCTCTCTAGGCATGACAGACATGCTATAATTCCCACTCTTTCTGACTTGCGAGGAACAGACTATTCATGCTGGTGAGGATGATGGAAACTGTCATCCAATTCATTTGGAAGGCGGGAGGATGGCGCAGATGATGTCAAATGAAACCCTACTAAGCACATGATACGAAAATTGTTCCTGAAGCAAAGAGGTAGATTTAACTCCGGGACTTCTTTTGTCTGTACTCTTAAAAAACCCAGAGTTCAGATTAGTACAAGAACTCTTTCCAGTGTCCCCTCCTGGCCCATGAGGTGCAATTTCAGATTCATTCACAAAGTTTGAGATGACATTTCATCCATTATAGGCAATGTTTAAAAGGTGAAAAGGATTTGCTGGGAAATTAAATTGTATTCCAGATAGATGGCTATTGTGATGGGCTTTGAAAAGTGTATTAATCTGCATTTCTTTTTGTTAGAGGTGCATCAGTATCAAGAACTGCAAAACTCTTCCTGCCTCCAACCAAAAATGCCTCCATGTGACTTTGTACCTGAGAAGTATGATGTAAGCATATGCTAGTCTTGGTTATTACGGATTATTGGTATCATTGATGCTAATGGGAACTAAATGCAGTGGATCAAACCAAACAAATGTCCACTGTGATTCAGCCCTGGTGGCGCAGTGATTAGACTGCAGTATTGCAGGCTAACTCTGCCCACAACCTGCAGTTCAATCCTGATGGGCTCAAGGTTGTCTCGGCCTTCCATCCTTCTGAGGTTGGCAAAATGAGGATCTAGATTGTTGGGGGCAATAGGCTGATTTTGTAAACTGCTCAGAGACTATGCTATTGTCATACAGAAGCTTGGATAAGGCTTTAGGTCAGGAGTTGAGCATGTGTGAAAACTAGCAGATCTTTGGTCCCATCTGTGGCATCTTGCAGAATCGATGGGAGAATTCCTGCCAGAAATTCTAAACAATTCCTGCCATTTAGTGTTCATCAGGCTAGACCAGTGTTTCTTAACCTTGACAACTTTAAGATGAGAGGACTTCAGCTCCCAGAATTCCCTAGCTAACATGTATTCTTCTGGACATGTTTTAATTTATCAATGTCTGTCCTAAACAGAAGACTGAAAACTCAAAACCATCCGTGCAGACTGACAGATTCAGAATAGAAAGGAAGAATAATTCCTCTTCTTCTTGGCTGGGTTCACACATCAGGGATAGCCACTAAAAAGGAAAGAAAGAAAACCTAAGGTTACAATTAAACAATCTTAGCATGTTGTTTGAATGCAGCCGCTTGGTCTTTATTTGATCTGATGTTGCGCTGACATTCACCACACATATAATTTTTTTATGTTTTGCTGTAGTCCCACACTTATGAACAAATGCTGAAGATCCGCCAAGACAACGTGTTCCCGTCCCTGTTAACTTGGTATAAGAAGCCACTCCTGATCCATCAAGGACACATGCAGTGGCTGTTTGACTTTGAAGGACGAAGATACCTTGATCTCTTTGCTGGAATCGCTACTGTCAGTGTTGGTCACTGCCATCCGTAAGTAAGCTTTCAACACCCAAGCTTATATGCATGGACTAGCACAGGGGTAGGCAACCTTGGCTCTTTTATGACTCGTGGACTTCAACTCCCAGAATTCCTGAGCCAGCATGGCTGGCTCAGGAATTCTGGGAGTTGAAGTCCACGAGTCATAAAAGAGCCAAGGTTGCCTACCCCTGGACTAGCATGACTGAATTCCATTCACAGCGTGTGCCATTTGCAAAACCCAGGAAATATTTTCTTTTCTGTTGTTGCTATTGGCTTAGCTTTTCTGACATCATCCCAAAGGTGCTTCTTCCAAAAGGCAAAGGATCTTTCTTGGGTTTTTTTTTTCTTGAAAACATTTTGCTTGTCATCCAAGAAGCTTCTTTAGTTTTTCTTTGAAATGTTTCAAAGAAAATGTTTTCAAGGAAAAAAAACAAGAAAGTCCAGTTGCCTTTCCGAAAAAAACACCTTTGGGACAACCATGACCTGGATGATCTGACATCACAGCTATTTTGAACAGGCATAATCCTTATTTAATTGGACTTATGGGCAGAGAAATACCTATGGTGATGTTTGACTTGTTTAAAGATATATTTCTGAAAGGGTTCCTATAATGTCTTATTTTCTAGTGACTTAAGTTTGTTTCCATTTCTGTAAATGCTGCAGCATCTTAGTTCACTGTTATGGCCCAGGTCACCTAGGCCAGGGGTAGGCAACCTTGGCTCTTTTATGACTCGTGGCTGGCTCAGGAATTCTGGGAGTTGAAGTCCACGAGTCATAAAAGAGCCAAGGTTGCCTACCCCTGACCTAGGCAGAAGCAGGTATTGATGGAGTCTTTTATTGTCCTGTTAGCTGCTGTAACAAATGGCCCTACAATAGCTGGTAAGGCTCCACCCCACACTTCTCTGAAGGCAGCCACCCTCAGTCCCACAAACAAAAGCTAATCAATAAACAAAACCAATTCATAAAGGCAGAGAGGAAATCCAAAGGGCAAGGCAATTCTACAGGATCAGGCAAGTCCACAAGGCCAAAGGCAAGCAAGTAAAGCAAGTCCACAAGATAAAGCCAAGGCACAGGCAAAAACAAGAGTGAAAGCTGAGTTTTTCCAAAGCTGGAGGAGCGTAAGCCGAAGCAAAAAATTGTTCCTGACAAAGACAGACTCCCCTGGCTTCTGCTTAAGTCAACCCATGCCAGGTGTTTCCTTGTGAGGAGGGGTGGGGCAACCTTCTCCCAGGCAACCTAGACCAGGGCTTTTCAACCTTTTCACCCATTGTGCCACTTTTAGGATATGGCAACATCCGAGTACCACCAGTCGCCTAGCAAGGTGTCAAAAACTTGATGCCCCCCCAAAGGAAAAAAGTGATAAAGTACAGGTAGTCCTCGACTTACAACAGTTCGCTTAGTGACTGTTCGAAGTTACAATGGCACTGAAAAAAAGTGCCCCCCAAGCCACAGCCGAGCAAGACACCTGCCTGCCCACCCGGCCGCACTCTTCCTCCTGTCCGAGGTTTTCATTGTTATGAGCATTTCTGTTGAGGATTGGCAGCGGGGGTGGGGTAGGGGGGTGTTTGGTTTTTATTCTCCCCCCATCTGCTGGGTGGTTGCAGCAGGTTTTGGTCACTTCACATGACCCTGGGACACTGTGACCGTCATAAATATGAATCAGTTGCCAAGCATCTGAATGTAAATCACAAGACCCTGGAGATGCTGCAACATTCCAGCTGATCAGTGCTTCTTCTGGGCTCAGCAGACGTGCCAGGATCAGTGCTGTTTTCCAGCTGATTGGTGTTTCTTCAGGGCTCAGCAGAAGCACCAGGATCAGCACCGAGCTCCAGCTGGAGCCTGGCGTTGATCCTGGTGCTTCCGCTGAGCCCTGACAGCCCTGCAGCTCCAACCATCTCTCGCTCAGGCTTGTGCGGTGCTGCCACCAGTTCAGCTCATTCCCCTCCCCTGCTACCACTTTTCTAGGATGGTCGCATACCACCTGCCAGGTGCCAATGTACCACAGGTGGTACCCGTACCACTGGTTGAAAAGCCCTGACCTAGAGGCCTCCTTTGAGCTTGCCTGTATTCCACTCTCCGTGCCCTTGGATTGAGTGGGGGCGGCAGCTGTTCCTCATCAGAGGGGATCTGCTGCCTCTCAGCACCACTGCCTGTCAGCAGTTGATCCTCCCCTCTGAGGGCAGGCAGGTCTTTGTCCGGTCGATCACCTTCCCCAATGCCTGAAGGGTCTGGGACAGCATCATCCTCAGCCCCTGGCCTCTCCAAACATGCCAAGAGAGACATGCCATCCCCATTGGACAGTCCCGGTTCCAACTCTTCCTCCTCTTCCTCCTCCTCCTCTGAACCGGGATCCGATGGGGCCATGACACTTCACTGTCATTGTTATTTTAAATACAGCCTGCCCACTACTTAAAAAAAAATATTGTGACTGGTGACATTTCAGGATAAAAGCAAAGTAAAACAGTAAAATCACATACGCACATTTTTATTTATCCACCAAACTCTTTCCTTTTGGGCAAACAACTTTATGCAAGGCACAGAAAGAAACCCAGAAGTAGTAGGCAAAATAAATTAAAGGCAGGAAGGGAAAAAAAGGAATTTTAATTTAGTTTTGTTTACACAAACACCATTCCCTCAAACTTTCCATATCTTTCATTCTCAGAAACCAACCTTCCTACCTACACAGCCACACACATTGATTCATACATTGACTTTTATGTAATTCAAATTATATCTTCAGTTCAGCCATAGAGTGTTTAGAATAAGACTGACACATAGTCATTTAAGGTATCAAGGGGAAACTGTTTTCAGATGCCAGGTCCCAAATGTGAGAATGGAAGGTCAGTCATCAAAAAGCAGGAACTGCAGGAACTAGCCAAACATGGCCTCTGGGAGAAGAGGGTTCAAAGCCAGAGCACCAGAATGAAGTCCCTAATGGGTTTTTTCCCCCAGTTATGGGACGATGAGGAGCTTCTTTACCACCATCCCCCAGACTGTAATCTTCAAGCAGACACTTACCAGGAGAGATGTTTCTTCAAGTCTTAGCCTCCTAATTTTTTTTAAGCTTTATTGGTTTTTAAAACATAAATCACATAATAGTTGGTTAACAGTGTGTTTACTTGGTTTACATTTGTAAAGAAAAATCGTTAACAAATGATTTCTATAATTCACAATCCACATGTTCAAACAGATGTTTCTTTTTTTTTTTTCTTAAATATTCTCTCTGGTAGATCCTGTCATTCATATTCTTAATTTTCACTTTAATATTTTAATATTTTTCCTTTGATCATTATCTTTCTTGATCAATGTGTTTTGCTGAATCAGGGGGTTTTTCCATCTATTTTTCCCCAACCGATTATACAATTTGTTCCAGATTTCGTAATAATCTGTTTCACTCTTATCCTTGAGTTCTAATGTCAACCTATCCATTTCAGCACAGGATAAAATCTTATTTATTACCTCTTCTTCTGAGGGTGTCTCGTTATCTTTCCATCTCTGTGCAAAGACTAATCTTACTGCTGTTAGCATATATAGTAATAAGCATAGGGATCCTTTGTTGTATCTATACTTAGTAATACCCAGCAGAAAGAGTTCTGGCTTTAACTCAATGTTCTGCATTAGTATCTCTTCTAACCACTGTTTTATCAAATGCCAAAATTTTTGTGCTTTGGAACATTCCCACCACATATGGTAATACGTCCCTAGCGATTCTTTGCATTTCCAACATTTCGGTGAGGTCTTTTTGTCTCAGCCTCCTAATTAAGGACCAATATTGCCACAAATTAGATTGGAAACAAAGTGCCATTTTTTTTTAAAAAAAAATAATGTATCCAGGAAGGTAACTGCAGCAGCTCAGAAACAGCTTGGCCGCCTGGGACACACGAGCAACATCTACTTGCATCCAGGAATCCAAGAATATTCCAAGAAGCTGACTGCGCTGCTTCCCGGCTCCTTAAAGGTACGTCAGGTTGGGCATCTTCAGGACTGCTTCCGAGGGTTGGGCTGGATGCATGTTGTAAAAGTCATTTGTGTAGAGGGAAAAGGAACTGGGCCCTAATGTCGAAATTGGATAATGTATGGTGACAATTGGAGAGTTGGAGCCATGGAAAAATGCAAAATATATTAGAAATGATAGAAAATATTTGTAGCTCGGGTGGTAGATGTTGTTAGTTTGTTCTCTGAACTTGCTGTTTAGCTTCCAAACATTTTATCACCAAGTTAGGTGACATCCGTATCAGGACTTTGTTTGAAGTATTGATCTCATGCGGTTGGTGGGTCATATGACCAGCTGGCTATGCCGTGTGACATGCCATGAGACTGGCTGGTCATTATGTGTGAAGATCACAAGAAGTGGTCGGTGTCCTCGTTGGTTGGTTGATTGATTGATATGTCTCCTTATGGGTTCGTAGGCTGGATCCAAGTCAACATGTGTGTTGACAGATCCGTCGGTTGACATGTGCATGCCATGTGGTAGCATGGCCAATATTTTTGTCCTGGACCTTCACACATAATGACCAGCTAGTCACATGGCATGACCAGCTAGTCACAGACCCACCCACCACACGACCACATGAGATCAATAAAAGCGGAGAAGAACTGAAACAAGACGCTTCAACCGAACTTCCACTGAGGATGTCCTCTGGTCTGGAGACAAAACATTCAGAAGCTAAACTGCAAGCTCAGAGAACAAGCCACTACCAACCATGAAAAATATATTTTGCAAGATAGACACAGGTAGTCCTTGACTTACAACCATTAATTTACTGACCGTTCAAAGTTACAATAGTGCAGAAAAAAAGTGACGTGACTGTTTATTCACACTTACAATCATTGCAGCATTCCCAGGGTCACCTGGTCAAAATTCAGACGCTTGGCCACTGGCTCATATTTAAGATGGTTGCAGTGTCTTGGGGTCATGTGATCATGTTTTGCGGCCTTCTAACAAGCAAAATTACTGGGAAGCCTGATTCGCTCTACAACCACATTACTAAAACTTAACAGCTCCAGTAACTCACTTAACACCTGTGGCAAGAAAAAATCTGAATTGGGACAAAACTCACTTAACAACTGTCTTGCTTAGCAACAGATATTTTGGGCTCAATTGTAATCATAAGTTGAGGACTACCTGTAAAATAACTTAACATTGCCTAGGTTGGATTGGTAATTATGCATTAATTTAGATATCTGGCAGCCTCAGTTTCTTCTCTAACCATGTATTTCCATCATGATCTTTGTCATAGGTAGCTTATCTGACTAATAGTGGTTCTGAAGCCAACGACCTGGCATTGTTAATAGCAAGAGTTTTCACCCACAACAATGATGTCATTTGTTTGAGGTAATTCTGTTCTGTGAATTGTGATTTGTTCTCTTCAGTGGTTTCTGTGTTCTCTCTAAGAATTAGCAGATCCCACAAATGGCTTGCAGATATTCATGCCAAAGAATTTCTATCCTGCAACCTGCATGAAGTGCCACTGAAGTAGTAATTATTTATCTACTTGCATGTAACATGCTTTTGAACTGCTAGGTTGATGGAAGCTGAGGCAAGTGATGGGAGCTCACCGCATCATGTTCTAGGACTTGAACCACAGATCTTCTCCAGTGTCTTTAAGCCATAGAGCCACTTCTCAATAATTCAAAATATGTAGTCTAATAACACAAGTTAATAATAAGGAAATATATGAAGTAGCCTTATGAAATATCTGTTCAAATATTCATATTTTCTTACAATCAGTATTGGAATAAAGGCATGCAACCATACCTGACCTGTCCCAAAACGTATGAGATCAATACATCTGTATGATTTTTAACAATATCATACGTAAACCTTATGATATTCTCAAACAAAATCTGAGAAAACTTAATCAGTATTACCATCTGTAATTTACATCAGCTTTAGCAAGCTGGGGCCAACATATATGGGTGCCTGATAGCCATGAGTGCTGAATTGGGAACCCGTGCTCTAGACCACTCAAGTTTAAAAAGAACTGATGATGATCTGATAATCACAGATATGAAAAAAAGCTACTACATATGTGTACAGTCTAAACTGAGAAAGTGTCTGTAATACAAGAGCAAATCCTGTGAAGTTTCATTGACTCAGCTAACTGGTCCTCAAACTGGATACTCGAAATGAATTAGGAAAACTTTCATGAACTAAACCAACTGTTAGGGATGCAGATTTTTACTGGGAAATAGTAACTTCCCTTCCTTATTCTGTTCTTGAAATCCCCTTCTAATCCACTTCTAAAAGATTCTCTAGCCCAGTGGTGGCGAACCTATGGCACGCGTGCCAGAGGTGGCACTTGGAGCCCTCTCTGTGGGCACATGTGCTGCCGCTGCCAGCAGCTTGCACAGGTCCATTAGGCTGCTGCTGCCGCCTGGGGCGGCAGCCGCACCCAGCACAAAGAACGCGAAGCGGCCAGCTAGCGAGCTCGAGTAGAGGTGGTAGACCATGCCCACACCCAGCAAACCAAAGGCCACCCCGAGCAGGGAACGCCGGATCCCCATCGGCGCCATGGCCTCCCAGTCCCAGCTAGGATTGCATGCCTCCCCCCATCTATGCTGGGCCTCCTGCCCACTGCCCCAGAGACCCCATGGATCTCTTGCCCGGCCCCCACAGGTGTACCCCCCATGAGCAGCATCGAGGTGTCCATGCCCACCCCAGCCACGCCCATCAGTGGGCCACACCCCCATGCCCCCCCTGAGGGCACCACAATGCCCTGGCACTTTGCGATGAGTGGGTTTTGGGTTGTGGTTTGGGTACTCGGCCTCTAAAAGGTTCACCATACCTGCTCTAGCCTTTGATTGGTTTGGAGGCATGTATTTGATATGCCAATTGCATTTGTCCACTGGCAGAAGGAAACCATTGGATACAGTCTCAAGAAGAGAGAGTGCTAATGTTTTAATAAAGAACACTAAGAGCATGGAACTTGACAAAAACATATTCCACTGAACAAGAGTTCTTTGAGTTTCGGAAATGTGTTATTTTTCTTTATTCTGTAATGAACACAGCTTCTGAGATTCTAAATATATAAAAAGATAAGCAGAGAAATTAATCACCTGGGCTTGAAAATATAATGGTTTTCTTTTTGCAGGGGCAGCTACCATGGAGGTAGCCCATATATTATGGGCATCACAGCCATTGGAAAGTACAAGCATGTTGTTGCCAATGGAGCCAACTGCCACTCGGTCAGTATCTTGCTTTGTTTTGGGGGGAGGACATGTTTTTGGAACATGTTGGACGTATTCCTGACTGGTGTTGGTATTGCTGGTTGTTGTTGTTAGTTGCGAAGTCGTGTCTGACCCATCGCGTCCAATGGACAACGTTCCTCCAGGCCTTCCTGTCCTCTGCCATCTTCTGGAGTCCATTTAAGCTCACGCCTACTGCTTCAGGGACTCCATTCAGCCACCTCATTCTCTGTTGTCCCCTTCTTCTCTTGCCCTCAATCTTGTATTGCATCTTATCCGCTTCGGTGTTTCTTCTTAATCATGAAGAATGAAAAAAGAGTTCAGTTTTCAAAAAAAGTTATGCAGATTGATGCTAAATGCAAGCATCATTTTGTCACTTGGCAGTCTATTCCTATTGCCAGTTTGACCAAAATAGTTATGCTTGAAATAAATTGAGCCAAATATTTTGTTGATTCATGAATCAGATCAAAATTTGGAAAATGCTTTAATAGAATTCTCACCTGACTTGGATGAAATATTAGGGATCTCCATCAGGCTCAGTTTCCTTACCATAGGCTGACCTTCCTTTTTGCTCATGTCTTCAGTCAATCTTGTCTTGTGATCCCAAGTTATTTTGTCTAAAGGCTCCAGCTCTAATGGGGATGAACCAGACACAGCAACTACCATTGTCAACTGCTTCATTTCATGGTCCATCAACGTGGTTAGATGTCCTGCATAAACTATCCACATTTTCAGATGCTGTGCATCAGAGGTGGGCTGTATTTTTCAGATGGCATATCAGAAGCAACGTATGAATGGGACCAGAAGCAAAAGTGGATGTAGCCAGGATTATAGGTGGGGGAATTCAATTTTAAAAAAATCTTTTGAGGCGACTTCCAGTTTGCCATTGTGGCCGCCGCAGACGCTGGAAGGCAAGCTCCGTCTTCTGCGTTCGGTTTCGCTCTGCTGGGGGACCCTGGAAAGGGTCAAAGTCACCCTGTAGGGGTGATGAGCAAGGAGAGAACCCCCACTCGATCGCGGGAGGGCAGTAGCCCTTTCGCTCGATCTGGGGCAGCCCTCCAAACCAGCAGAAGAAAGACCGGCCATAGTAATATGGCCCATCACTAGGCTGCAGACAGCTGAAGTCAAACTTATCACCAAGCACTTCGAAAGCAACGCAGATAAAACTGGATGAGATCCGGTCTTCTCTTTACCCTAAGTACTTTCTTTTTCTGTAAAATCTGCCTGAAGTATCTCTCCCCCTGTAAGGAGAGAGGGAAGGGAATTTCTATCCCACCCTTTAAGAATAGCGGCGACTGACTACCCAGGGGAATTAAAGCACTAAAAGAACAACTTTAATCTAATTGGATTTATATGTTTCTGAAACTTGGGGACCAAAATTTTTCCTATTTTTATTGGAGACTTTTGCTTTTATCTACAAAAAAGAAATAAAATTGGAAAAAGGATTCTAAAAGTTTTGGACTTAAAAAACCTTAAATGGCATCGGTGACATCTTGTGGCAAAGTTTGGTATTACAACTTGTTATTTCCTAAAAGAGACTTGGCTCGAAGCCCAGACCTTAGATAAGACTCTTCTGACCTTGGCACTACCTGTGAGAAACTCAGCTGTAGAAGAACAGCGGGNCCTGAAAACCCGGCGGGCAGATGTCTACTAGTGGTACTCCACCTTCTACGCCCAGCCAGGTCTCAGTAATACCTGCCAGGTCCGCGCCCCCCTCCAGAATAAGATCCTGTATGAGGGGGGCCTTATTTACCACGGACCTGGCATTACATAGCATCAGCCGAAGGTCCCGGGCCGGAGGGTCTAAGTCTCCCGGAAACCGGGTGGAGACCTGAGGACCGGAGCGCCCACAAGCTTGTAAATAGCGTGTGCGTGCTCCCCTAACCTGATATGGTCCTCTGCTCCCGCCATATCTGCCTCTCCCACTGACCGTACTAATTCCTCCCTCCTCCTTCCTATCTCTTTATTTGAGGAATATTGGTTACTATATGAGATGATGAAATACTTTGGACTATAAAATCTTGCTTGACAAACGATTTCTACTATAAAGACTATTTATAAACACGTGAAAGAAATGGAGGAAGATCAGGAAAAGATCCTTTCCATGTTAAAAGCAATACATGAAACCATTCTTTCAACTTGTGATAAAATAAGACCTAACATAAAAGATCAAGATGCCAGCTAGATACACAAACCCAAACTTTGACTACAACCAAAGAACTAACAACGCAGAAGATAACAGAAGAAGTGGAACAATCAAATATTAAGAAGAGGACTCAATTGACCAACAAATACAGTTAATGGAAAATCCAGAAAAGGGAGTGACAACACTGAAAATAGAAAAGACTTTTTCTATATATAAATCAGAAGAAATTTGAGAAAGAAGAACAGATTGAATGGAAGATAAACATATTAGGGCAATCATGGGGAATTGGAATAATAGGGAGACAAATTAATGAATACAAATGGGCTAGTCCTTCCAAAAAAATGGCAATTGGTCTCCTTTATTTCAAATAACATATATAATAATAGAGGGAGATCTATTTGACAATCTAAAAGCACTGATATGAAAGCCTAGTTGGCAAAGGAAGAAAGCCAGAATAAGGCTGAAGAAAATTGGAGGTTTGATTTATTAGAGGGGATTTCATGTTATTAATTAGAGGGTTAAAGGGAGAAGTTGAGATAAAGGGAATTCTGGTCATTAGATTTAAAATATTTGGAAATTAGTTGAAAATAAGGATTTTACCTGTTTAATATTAAAAATTAGACCTAAAAGAAAAAATTAATTATTATGAATATGTTTGATTTATTGATTAACTCAGGTAATATATATATAATGGTTTTGATTTATTAAAGGGGATATTGTATTACTAAGTAGATGATTTAATATGGTGGGAAATAGATAACTTTTAGAAAAGAGAACAAGATTATCTTCAAATAGATAAAATGTGTATTTTGGATATTAGATTGTGTTATGAACTGAGATAAGGGAAATCTTGGTTACCTAAAGCCTGAAAATTATAAATATTAAAGGTTAAATTGGAATATTGATGGGAAACTAAAAATTGGGGAAAAATTAATAACAGGATATGGATTGTTTATGAAGCTTGAATGTAAAAAATAATTAAGATACGTATAAGCTAAAATTTATTGATTAAATGTAATAATGATGTTTTTATTGATATAATAAGAACTGTATTAGCTTAAATACGAGATAGTAAATGTTAAGGGGAAAAAGAGAGAAATATTTGATGTTGTAACTTGAGATTTGTATTAAAGATTTGTTATTGAACTATTGATTAACCCACCCCCCACGTTGCTTTTTAAATACTTAAATGTAAAATTGGAAAATTAATAAAATATTATAAAAAAAAATCTGTTGAGATTTTTAAAAAGTATTTGAAAATTCTTATTATGTACTTTAATCCTTTTATTTAACAGTAGCAGTTGTGTCTGCAGTGTGGTACGTGGGAGCTATATAATGTCATTAGTATTCATCCACTCCCTGCTCTAATTTTACAGTCTAGACTCCTTAGATGACAAAAGAAAATAATCTAGCATATTACAAAGATAAGAATCAAGTAGAAGCATAATTATATTTCCAGCTATCCTGCTGAGCCCCAGTAGCATCCATAAAAATGAAATGATAGGTAGTAAAATCCCATCATGTATTTGTCTTCTGATAGATTTATGGATGTTCTGCATTTGGCTATACCAGGGGTAGGCAACCTTGGCTCTTTTATGACTCGTGGACTTCAACTCCCAGAATTCCTGACCCAGCCATGCTGAGGGGAAAGGGAGAAGTTTCCAAGCTGAGCCATGCTGGCTCAGGAATTCTGGAAGTTGAAGTCCACGAGTTATAAAAGAGCCAAGGTGGCCTACCCCTGGGCTTTACCAATAAGGATTGAAGTTGGCCAGGTGGGCATTTCCGATTCTCATGTTAGAGAAAACTTGGTTTATAAACAAGGAATAAATGGTGAGATCACTATTGTAAGGGTTCATCTTTATTTCTCTTTGCTATCTCAGTTCTGTCTTTTCTTCATTGAATGTACCTCTTAAAAATTTAGCATGTTCAAGTACATCATGGTGGAATAATGAACATCTTTAGGTCTGTTGTTTCTTTAGACAATGTTACCTGATGTTTTCCGTGGTCCTTGGGGAGGAAGCCACTGCCGTGATTCTCCGGTGCAAACAATTCGAAAGTGCTCCTGTTCCTCAGGTTGGTTAGTAAGGATAACCCTCTTGATTTTCACAGGCCCACTTTTTTGCAGGATCCCATGATCATGTGAGCACAATTTAAAACATTTTTTTTTGCTGGGAACAGCCTTTATTTCTGGTTTCTGGCAAAAAATAAATGCCCACTGTGGGACAATAGATTTGCTTATCTGCGCTGTTCATTTAGTAACTAACCACTTCATTCATTTTACAACCACCGCAACAAAGGGTGTAAAATCGGGTATGGTCCACCTGACAATCAGCACAACTTACAACTAATTCCAGGCTTCATTACAGTCATACGTTGAGGACTACCTATAAGTGTCATAATCTGTTTAATCAGATCTCGATCATACAATCCCTTCTAATTTTGCGATGGTGGCGAATATCTGAGCTTGGGTCAGTGGTGGGATTCAAATATGTGAACAATCAGTTCTCTGTGTGGATGCCGCTTCCAGAAGTCCATTCTGGGCCTTGGCAACAAAAAATTAGCTACCGGTTCTGCTGAACTGGTGCGAACTGGCTGAATCCCACCACTGCCTTGGGTGTAGGATGAGGCTGGGGGTTTGTTCTCTGAGCCCCTGGGTTGGTTTCCGAATGTTTCATTACTAGGCTAGGTAACATCTTCAGTGGATTTGATTGGAGTAATATCAGAATCATTGGCCTTACTACCACTGTACACGCACGTGAGTTCATTGAAGCCTGGTACTCCACAAGCAATTCCATCAACAGATACATCGACCTACAACCAACCAATGAACCCCTTAGAATTCAAATCAACTGCACAACCAACCAGTGACAGCACCAAACCTAAACCAACCCACACAAATCCTCCCAAACAAGAACTTCACCTCCCAGTAACCCTCACCTGACATGACCTCCCCATCACAAGATCCATTACAAGACCCTCACAATACACCCACATCTGACCCATCACAAGACCCTCACTTGACACACCCACACCTGACCCGTCACAACACCTACTGACCACACAAAGCCTTTATAGGCAGAAAAACACTGACATTGTCATTCCCCTAAACTCCACTGAAGATGTTACCTAGCCTGGTAATGAAATGTTCAGAAACCAACCCACAAGCTTGAAGAACGAACCTCCACCCTAATCCCACCTAATGTTGAGTTGGTGCTGTCCATCCTTATTCAGCAGAAATTCACTAGGATGAAATTTGTTTTCCTCCTGATCGGCCCCCCTCCCGCTTCTCCCGCTTCTGTTCCAATTCTTACCTAGATGAAGGCAGCATCATTTGATTTAGCCAAAAAAGGATATAGCAGAGGCAACTTCATGTCACAGTGGGCCAACTGGGGAAAAGCCCTTTGGCATTTTAAATTATAAACCTAGCTGTAATAACAGCCTTAAAATAATTAATGTATTGCTCCTCCTTACCTCCTTCAATACAGGAACCTGCCACGCAAACGACCAGTACATTGAGCAATTCAAGGACACACTCCAGACTTGTGTTCCAAACAAAGTTGCTGCATTTATTGCTGAACCAATTCAAGTAAGTGTTTTGTTTCTTTTAACAGGCTGCAAGGACCTAAAACTTTTCACTGTTCTTTCCAATGCAGATTAGTTCATACTATGCTTGATTCTTAGGAAGTGGGGTGGTTAAAATGCTTAAAGATGCTGAGCTTGTCAGGTGGAAAGCTGAGAGCCCGGGTTTGAGATCTGAGCACTGTGCGACTGGGTGAGCTCCCATTATTTGCCCCAGCTCCTGCCCACCTAGCAGTCTGAAAGCATGCAAATGCGAGTAGATAAATAGGTAGCACTTGGGTGGGAAGTAACAGCGTTCTGTGCGCCTTGGTATATAGACATGCCAGTCACATGACCACAGAAATGTCTTCAGACAATGCTGGCTCCTTCAACTAAGAAACGGACATGAGCACTGCCCCCTACAGTCAAACCTCACTAGACAACCTTTACCTTTATGCTTGATTCCTAAAATAACATCTTCCTCATTATAAAACATAATGTCACCTTAAGTATGTTGTATTCAGGGGGACTTCTAGATATCTCTAGGACTGTAGTTGCTATCCTACATACATTTAACGGGGGAGTCAGCCTCACTGATGGTGTTAAATATGCATAGAATCACACTATAAAATGTGCTTTGTTTTCATTTGAAAAATTGACTCTCACAACATCACCTTGGAGGTTTGTTTAGTATTACTTTAGTTCAAGAGAATAGTTATAGTATATAAAGCTGTGATTTTCTCATAATAAGACAAAAAGATGCAGAAGAGGCAGGACAAAAAAAGTAGGATCAACAACCAGTTTAATCAAAAATTGCAGAAACCAGCAAGACATCAGATAGATTACATGATGGCAGTCTGGGCCTGAACAAAAGGGGTCCATTAGTAGCGGGAGATCTCAACCCAGGATAGGAGGACAAGAATGCAGAAAGTGAGCATATAATTCCCCTCAATGGATGCTCTTAAACACGTAGGAGAAAGAGAAGGCCAAGACATCTCTACATATAGAATGCATGGGAAAAGAGTGTGCCAGATTTGAAATAGAAGTGGGTATATATCCTGTACCATCTCTCCTGCTTATTGAGAGAAAATGCTGCCAATCTACTATTCCCATAAAGATTTAATTCCTAGCTCAGCCAAGTTTTTACAGCACAGTTTATACCAGTACGTAGCAGGGTTAAAAGTGTTCAGTTTAAATCCTGTCTAGACCCGCTCCAGTCGGGCTTCAGGCCGGGATACAGCACGGAAACGGCATTGGTCACATTGGTGAATGATCTCTGGAGGGCCCGGGACAGGGGTCATTCCTCTGTCCTAGTTCTTTTGGACCTCTCAGCAGCTTTTGATACTGTGGACCACGGTATCATGCTGCGGCGCCTGGTGGAGTTGGGAGTGGGAGGCACC